ACCTGATAAATAAAAAAAAGGTGAAAACCTGATTTTTAAAAAGGAGATACTTAATGCCTGATTTTCCCTGGACAAAATTCAATCTTGATCGAAATAATAAGTTTGTGACATTGCTTCTCTCAACTTTGGAGCTCAACTATTATTATCTCAAAATGGTCAATAACACTTAAATATTTGCTCAAAAAATAGATACAATGTTGTACAACAAATAAAATTTATTATGCAACAAGAAAGTTTTGGACCAAATCATTAAAAAAAAAAACCAATTTTCAAATTGTACGAATGGGATTCTCTATTGAAAATTTATATTTCATTTGTTCATCACTATCATTAGATTCAAACGTATACGATAAAACATTTTTCTTTTTAACATGTTTTCAATCATATATACCAAAAAATTTATTTTAATTCGCAGCAAATTCGAAAATTTTAATGCTCATCTTTATGATCCTTGGAATTTCATACACACTTATAATTACAAGATGAGGGAAATTTCATTCATGAATACAAACAATAGAAATTAATTACCGATTTTGTTGTTTCTCGTTACAATTTTTTTTTTTTTTTTATAACCGGGGATGTTCAGGCCAACTTGCGCGCACCTCGACTAATTTCACGGGACCCTAAAGTTTACGGCCGGGTACTCACCTCATTGGCCTTGAGGGGATTCGAACTGGTGACCATTGGGAAGCAAATTCAAGATCTGACCAATTGATCAACCCCTCAAGGTTATTTCTCGTTACAATTATTGTTGTAATTTAAAATCCAATTACAAGATTTATTTTATACACGTCTCATATAATAAAAAAAAAAAATCACCTTACATTTTATAAGGACTGATTTAACAAAAGATCACTCATACACTTTGACTTGTTTGCACCCTTAATTGAAAAAGCTACTTGTAAGCTGCTTATTAATTCGTGTAGTTCCAATATTATTCCTGAACTCACATCATCTTCACAATTCTCTGCAGAATCCTCTTCTATAATTGTCTCAAGGCTAGGAGAATTGGAGGTCTTTTGTGGGGAAATAATAAGTGGTGGTGCAACCTCAATCCAACTCGGATATTCAACTTTCTTCGCCATCAAACTAGTCGAGAACTGACCGGATTGGCTGTTGGGACAGGTTAGCTTGAAAGAGTCTCTATCGACTGCTCGGTTCAGGTTGACCTTTTTGTGTCCGTTCGTGTCAAATAAGATAAGATCAAGAGGGTTTTAACACGAACTTGAGAAAAATGGAATGAAGAAAGAGAGAGCTCTCAGATGATTTCTTGGTAGAGACTTAGAGATAAGGGTTGAGAGGTTTTATAGGGACTGAAGAGTGGAAAATTGTCGGCAGAAGAGCACTGAAAAAGCTTTGTATTGTTTAATTAAAGAATTGAAGTTTGAGGGTGAAGAAAAATGTGAATCATATGGGCAATGAGGAGTGGATTGTACTCAATTGAATAATATAATTGTGATGTGATCCACCACCATACACTTATTCTATTTTATGACCTTATTAAATAATTTAGAGGTTGTATGATTGATACCTATCAAGTAGGCACTTGGTGGATTCCAATTTGCTATTCCACCTAAAAAAAGGAAAGAAACAATTTAAATATGGCCAAATATATTTATACCACATTTTTTAATAATTGTATGAAATGTTCATAATATCTACACATGATCACATTTATGTCTCAAATCTTTTTTTCATCATATTCTTATTCACAAATTAGCGTAAATTGTTCCTAATTATTATAGTTTTATCTTCAATTTTTTTTAAGATAAGAGTAAAAAGACGCAGTTGCGCATTGTATTTTTAAATAAGCAAAACAAATAATAATGTAAAAATATGATTAAATATTTGATCCTCATTTTAAAGCACGTTAACAATATTTTTGGATGAAAATCATGATTAACGACAAGATTTTCTGATCAATGAAATGCTAAAAAATAAGAATGTGATGAAGAAAAAAGTTTAGGAATACGAGTGTGATAATGAATAAAGGGTCATGACGTTTAATGTAATTAATATGTAGTGTATCTATAAAAAAATGCGGTGCGAATATAAACCCCCTTTCAATAATCTTGATACTAGTTAAAAAGTCGTTAAAGTCCTCACACACAAAACCAGTCATCGCACTTACTAGTTGGAATGAGGTCTCTATATTCTTTAAATAATACGTACTTGTCAATAAATTAAATTTTGTTAGTTAAAAAAGTAGGTCCGAAACAAGCTTCTTTGTTTATTAAATAAATTTCACGATTGATGCTTCAAAATCTTGAACCTTCTCCAGTATTCTCTAGAAGAAATACTACACATGGAGTGTGGGCACCAAAAATAAAAAACTTAAATTGTACTCTTTTCAGTGGACTCTCTGTCCATGTTTGTGTTCCATTAAAAACGTATTTTAGAGAAAAATATAATTTGAAATAATAATTTTTTTGAAAATGTATTATTAAAATATAAGAATTAATTTTTAAAAATTTATGTATAACATCATTTTATTGAAAAATGTATAATTGAAAAAATTGAGGGAAAAATGCATTTTTTTTAGAATAGAGCCCAAATTGGGGATATATGTGGACCGGCCACCGAGAGATGCAAGAACTGGGGCTAAACATGGTTTGATTCGATTCTGAAGAAAATCGAACCGAATCGAACCGAAATTTTCGGGTATTTAGTAAGCTGAACCGTTGGGTCCAAATTTAATTATGGAACCGTTTGGGTTCGGTTCCGTTCGGTTCGGTTCGGTTCTATTCAGTTCCCAGGTTCCGTCCAATAATTATTTTTTTTATATTTACAATAACGCTACATTAATTCGACTATAACATGTTCAATCTTAACTCTTACAAAATAACGCAGTCCAATCTAGTGATATATTTTGTACATTTCTTTGTTGAGTTCTTCATAGATGTGACTGTCAAAGTCACAAGAAAAGGAAGATAGCGAGTTCACAATAATTATTAAAATATAAGAATTCTTTTAAAAAATTTATGTGTAACATTAATTTTTGAATTATTCTACTCTACCAGATTTTGGTTCACAGATTTTGTACAGACTATCTCACATAAGGTGGGTCCCGAGAACCTAACTCATTAAAAAAACCCCCCAAAAATGTTAAAACACCCACCCACCATATCTCACATGGCTGTGCCAGGTCTTTTACCGACCTGACACAGCAGTTCGATTCTTAATTTATTGAAGAATGTATAATTGAAAAAATTGAGAGAAAAAGGAGCCCAAATTGGGGCTATAGGTGGACCGGCCACCGAGGTATGCAAGAACTCATCCTTTAGTAATGCCATCACGCCTTGGTCAATTATGCATTTGATGTAATTCCTTTTCTTGCCAAATTCTTGATTAATTGCATCATAGTCCTTGGGCTTAGTCATAATTAAGTCCTTTTTTTTTTTGGGAGTTACCAAAGAGTCTAATATGTTATTCGAACTACAAAACTATTTAGTCTAACTATTAGTCTTCACTTATTTCATTAAAGACGTGAAAACTGCACTCTTAAATAATATAAAAAACATAGAAAGTAAAATAAATCTTTATAAGAATAAAGTTTTACCAATATTCAAAATCTAATAATTAGAATTGGAATAAAATGTATGTTTTTCCTTCCTAATTATCTTCATTCATCATCAACACTTTTTATGATCACATTGCACACGCGAAATATTGATACTAGATTCAAAGTGTTCAATAGAAAACACTTAATGATATTATCTTATTCTGAATAAGAGGGAAAGTTACTTAACACAACACAAATAAATGTGTTGTATTTACCTACATTCAAATTCTTAACATACAAAGAAATTTAACTGTTTATTATATAATTCATTGGTGTAGACGGTAGATTCTACAGTTAAAAAATCGAATCGGTCAAGCCACCAACAATCCTGCAAGAAAGTAGAACGAGAAAGAAATACCGCAAGAGATCTTAAGAGGACACCGATGTGGTGCTAGCCAAAGATCCTCCAACGGTCAAGTCAGTAAAGTTTGTCAAGGATTATACGAATACTAGACGAAAAGAAATAAGAAGTAACTTAGAGTAGAGTATTTTTTTTATTCTATACCTGAACGTAAGACTGGCCTTCGAATTTATAGTGGTGGGATAGTCATTTAGGTGAGATTGACGAGGATTCTGCGAGATTTTCTAATTGGTTGGAGCTGAACTCAATAAGATCTATTTGGTTGAGATACCCTATTTATTTACAGATAACTCTTACTTGATCTGATCTATTCATAACGTGATTTATCTTGAAAACAAATTATCAGGGGTTTCGAATTGACAAGTGGGTCTTGTACTTTGCATTTGGCCCAATTGACATAACGAACTGGGCCAAAGATGGCTCGTTTGTTAAGTGGACCGTCTGTGGGCCTTAATTTTTTGACTTGGGCTAGTCGAACAATTTTTACCACTACAGTTGACAAATCAAAGAACTCTCTAGCTCACAAATTGAATCCATTATCGCGTTGAGGATTTAGGTAAACCATCCAACATTCAAATGTGATTTAATTATTCGCAAGATCATACCATGCAACTAAAATCAAACACATGATCCGATTCAATACACTATGAGTGCACTAGTGTTGCTATTCTTAAAATGTTATTTTGCTACTAGGACAAAACACTTACCCCAATTGGTACAATAGCCAACACTACGATCTTGTCGAAGCAAGGTGCCAACCATATTCAACAATCATGGACAAAATCAGGGGCGGAGCCAGGGGATACTACACCAATACATCGAATAAATAAATCCATCAAGAAAAAAAGGATTTTCATTAAAAAACAAAATCCCTTTAAAAGAAAATTGGACCATTTAGCCCAGACCTGCCCCCTTCCCTCCACCCTTGGACAAAATTCAATCTTGATCGAAATAATAAGTTTGTGAGATTGCTTCTCTCAACTTTGGAGCTCAACTATTATTATCTCAAAATGATCAATAACACTTAAATATTTGCTCAAAAAAATAGATACAATGTTGTACAAAAAATAAAATTTATTATGCAACAAGAAAGTTTTGGACCAAATCATTAAAAAAAAAAAAAAACCAATTTTCAAATTGTACGAATGGGATTCTCGATTGAAAATTTATATTTCATTTGTTCATCACTATCCTTAGATTCAAACGTATACGATAAAACATTTTTCTTTTAACGTGTTTTCAATCATATATACCAAAAAAATTATTTTAATTCGTAGCAAATTCAAAAATTTTAATGCTCATCTTTATGATCCTTGGAATTTCATACACACTTATAATTACAAGATGAGGGAAATTTCATTATGAACACAAACAATAGAAATTAATTACCGATTTTGTTGTTTCTCGTTACAATTTTTTTTTTTTTTGATAACCGTGGATGTCCGGGCTAGCTTGCGCGCACCTCGACTAATTTTACGGGACCCTAAACCTTACGATCGGGTACTCACCTCAGTGGCCTTGAGGGGATTCGAACTGGTGACCATTGGGAAGCAAATTCAAGGCCTGACCAATTGATCAACCCCTCAAAGTTATTTCTCGTTACAATTATTGTTGTAATTTAAAATCCAATTACAAGATTTATTTTATACACGTCTCATATAATTAATTTTTTTTTTTTAGTGGAATGTAAAATCATAATATGTGCATATTTAAACTGATAAATACCCTCTAAAGAAGCATATTCATGTGTGCAAGATATATTAAAGAAAGAACCTTTAATATTATTAACCAAAACTACGATAAAATATACATCAGAAGTCCAAAATCATAACACAAACAATATGTACAAATTTACAAAACGATGATGGAGTTGCAGCACTTGCACCTCCGCAGAGACCTTCCATCCTCGAATTCACTCTTGAAATACAGAAATAGTACACCATGATCAACAAAAAAATGCAAGAGTGTTATGTATCCTCATCATCATCTCCCTCGTTCATCTCTTCTTCGATTGTCTCCAACTCGGGGATATTTGAAGGCTTGTGAGGGTATGTAACAAAGATGGGTGGAGCAAAATCCATCCAAGAAGCAAAATTTCTATTACTTTTAGCCATTGAATCTAAGGTGATGGCTATCTTGCCCAAAGTTAAATGATGAGCTAGATTTAGGCCCCCAAATTCAACAGTTTGCTCCCCTCCCTCCTGGTTTTGGGAAGAAAGAGAGATGGGAAAAGTAAGCTTTTGAATTTGTGTTCTGAAGTTGATAAATGAGAGAGGATGAGAAGAAATGTGAACGAGGTGGCAATATATAGGAGGCACAGGCAGTGAGGAAAGGGAGTAGAAAGTGCACTTTGGAAAAGGACAACCTCAAAATAAGGATGAAATTGTGTGGAATCATGTGGTAATGAAGCAGGGTGGCAGTTTCCTTGTCCAGTTTGAAGATGAGTGGGTGTAGAAGAAATGGACGGCGATCGTTCTTGTTGTCTTGCCACTTTTGTTGGGTAATTATGACTCATGAGATAAAAATGGTCTAAAACAAGTAACGTGTCATTCGGGCAAGTTCAGTGAATTCAGGACCATGGGTAGCGTTGGGGGAGGGGATGTAATTTGCTCATCCCTACTTCGGACCTTCCTTGGATGTGATAACTTCTTGTCAGGCTCCATCTCGGACATATCACCACCATACTAAGCAACTATTCTGCAATCAAAAAGTAGAGCAGAAATTTGAATGTCACCAATATGATGGCCATTCGTCAAGCTGTCATGAATTACCGTCGCAACGGGTAGTTAGGGTCCGTTTGATTGTAAATATGAAAAATAGGTGAAAAGAAAATATTTTACAGGAAATTGATTTATTTAGAAATTGCTTTACTGAAAATTGTAATTAATTGTGTTTGATTTGTATAATTTTTCATGAAAAATGGTGAAATGAAAATTGTCCATTAAAGTGATAATTTTTTCTACCATTAGGTCTAGAATTTGTTCTAATTGCAAAAAAAAAAAAAAAAATTGAAAAAAATTTACCATACCAAATACCATTCGTTTGACTTTGTTTTGCATGAAAATTGTCAATAAAAGTGATAAATTTTTTTTACCATTGTATCTCGAATTTTTTTTTCCAATTGCCCAAAATAAAAAACCTGTAAAATATTTACCAACCAAAACATCAAGAATTTGTTTTCTTCAAAAAAGTGAAAAATTTGAAAAGTTGAAAAATATGGTGTATCAAACGGAGCCTTATTGTCNTTTTTTTAATAACCGTGGATGTTCGGACCAGCTTGCGCGCACCTTGACTAATTCCACGGGGCCCTGAAGTTTATGGCCGGGTACTTACCTCAGTAACCCCGAGGGGACTCGAACTGATGATCATTGGGGAGCAAACCCAAGGCCTGATCAATTAGAAACAAGATTCTTAGTCCTCAAACATTAAAGACAACAACCAATTGAGAAACCAGGAAACTACATAATGCCTATAATTTTGTACCCGAAGCTAAGCATTGCTCCAATTCTTGAAATAACCAACTTAACCGTAAAAAAATTCCAAATCCCCAACAGAATTCCAACTCAACAATTACAGGATTATTAATATATTCAGCTCAGCATGTATGAACAATAGAATTTCAAAAAAAAAAAAAAATAGAGGCCAGAAAATGAGCATCTTAATGAATCAGTAAAATTGCAACAATCTACTTGAAAAACTAGTTCCAAGACTGCCATAAAGAACTCGCAACCATGCAAATCACATTAATAAGAGACTCAACATCCTCCTCGGGAACTCGGCCACCTAAATTACACACACCCAAATACATTATGACCATTATGCAAGATAAATTACGGAGAGAAGCTTACTTTTCTCTAACACAAAAAATTGTTTGAAGTTCTAGCATGAACATACAAAAAAATAAATACAAACTCTGCCACACACAAACAAGTACACAACCTTGAAATTCTTTGTTTCTAACAAATTAATCCCTTGAAGCACGTGAGAGAAAGAATTCACAAGACAGAAGTGCTTCAAGGCAGAGACAAAAAAGGAAAAATTAGCTGAACGGATGGTTAAAGAAAGAAAGAAACAAAAAAAAAGGGGAGTGAGAATCAAGACCAGAAACTAAAGATTAGATTAGACAAACTACACTTCATGCAGATAAACATTACACGCTCAGACCAAATTAAGTACAATAGTGCGTAGTCTTATTTCACATGGGAGCACTAATATTGACAGTATAACTAAGAAGGCATGGGACAATACAATTAACAGGATCAAGGGACAGCGAACATCATCTGCAACATATTCTTCAATTTTATTCGAACAAAATAAGCTACGACTTATTTCCAGTAAATAGAAAGTCGGCTACACGAATCCCTTTTCAACTTCTGTTTGATTCACAAAGAGAATGTTCATTCACATCATCCATGTTAAAAAGCATGGAGAAATAAAAGCTACAGAGTGCGTAGCAATGGCTTCACACCAATAAAAAGTGATTTTTATTAACTAAATTAACATCGCTATAATGTAGTTGCAAGCATTTCCTCTTTCTTCATCAATAATATGCATAATCATTAACCAAAGAAACCCGTGATTTATATCAAATGCAGCAACGTGAAAATGATAATTGCTCATTTCAAGACAAATAAAAAACTCATTACCACAATTAATACAGATTTCATTTTCTCTAGGCGGTTAAGAAGTAGAAATAATCTATATAATCCAGAATAGTGCCATAGTTTAATCCCAAAATCGCTTTAAAAGTACAAAAATCAAACAAGAAATGACCCTAGAGATTCCGGTTTTGATTCACATTCAATATCAAACCATTTCAATTCTGCAATTCATTCGTTAAAAAGAGGAACAAATAAGCAACGCCTTATTTCCAGCAAAAGAGTTGGATACACAAATCCCTTTTCCACCATTCCATTTGATTTTTTTTTAAAGAAAGTTTATTTCACATCATCCGGGTTTAAAATTAGGGTGATCCCTACATTGTATAGCAATGACTTCACATCGATAAAAAATGTAAACTTTTTGACGTACTACAATCTGGTTGCAGGAAATTCCTCTTTCTTCATCAATAACATGCATAATCATTAACAATGAGGCAAAGGACCCATATCAAAATGCAGAAATGGGAGATGACAATTCCTCAAATCACGATAAGTAACAAAACTCATTAACAAAATTAACACAGGTCTCATTTCGTCGTGGTAGTAGTAGAAGTAGAAATAATCTATATTACCCAGAACATTGCCATAATTTAATCATAAAACCGTTTAAAATACAAAACTTAGAAAAAGGAGCCATAGAGAATCCAGTTGTGATCCATATTTACTATCGAACCTTTTCAAATCTCGGGAATCTCCACGTCGCCATCAGTAATCTCCTGCTGTAGATCCTTAGGGTCCTTCCCGTCGACTGTACATCCGACAGAAACGCAGGTTCCGAGGATCTCCTTGACTGTGCCAGACAAATCCTTGGCCATGGAGCGTGGCTGCATGACCTTGGCAATCTCGATTACGTCATCAAGGGAGATGTTGCCGTTGTGCTTAATGTTCTTGGTCTTCTTCCGATCGCGCTCGGGTTCCTTGAGGGCCTTGATGACGAGCGCCGCAGCGGACGGAACAACGGTCACCTTTGCCTGGCGGTTCTGCACGGTGAGCTTGACAGTCACGCGGAGGCCCTTCCAGTCCTTGGCGGTTTCCTTTGCGATATCCTCACCGATCTTCTTCGGCGACAGTCCGAGGGGCCCGATCTTTGGAGCGAGGGAACTGGCCGCTCCGACCTCTCCACCGGTGACCCGGACGAACACATCCACTACCTGACTCGGGTCAAACTTTGGCGGCATTTTTGGAGAATTCGGGTCTGCCGATATTCGAGGGTTAGGGTTTGGCGATTGGGTGGTTTTAGGGTTTGGTCTGTAGTAATATTAGGGCTTTTTTATGAGGCCGGGTCTGTGCTTTAAGATTGGACTTTCTTTTTATCTTTATGTGGTAATTATACCACACACCAACTTTTTAATAAATATTTTAAATTTACTATCCAACTTTTTATTAACCAAATATACTGTTTTTTTATTCAGTAAAATTGAAAACTGAAAAAGTTCCCAAATATTCAATTTTTAAGTAACTGGCTAAAATTTATCCAACAAACACGCCATTGAGGTTGTGTTCACACCCGGATTAATATCAATTACAGAACAAAATCCCTAATTTTTCGTCCTTTCACATTACACGACCAAAATCCCCTAATCTTTGTCTCTCCCAAATCACATACAGAAAATTCTCCATGACAGACGCATATTTGATCTTATACAGATTTAACGCAGAGGATTTTCACTCCACATCATGCAATCAACCGGTTGATTCTTCAGTTCTTAGTTGATTTGGTATATGTGAAGCGTATAAAACCCTAG